ACCTTCCTTTTCAACAACTCATAACCTGCCCTCTACCACATCAATTGCACCAGCTACCTATCCTTCACCAGCCAATGTCCATCTTATGATAACCATAGCCAAATTTGTTGATCAAAACAGAATTGTTCTTGTAGCCTCCATACCTCCTTGTGTCCAACCTAAACCTACTTCAGTAAATGAAGTTCTTGCTTGTAATGAGTGGAGAAAGACTATGCATGATGAATTCACTACCCTTATGAAAAATGAAACCTGGACCCTTGTTCCCAGGACATTTCACATGAATATTGTTGGTAATAAGTAGGTTTTTCGAACCAAGTATCATGCTGATGGTTCATTACACAAGTATAAGGCTCAATTAGTGGCAAAGGGTTTTCAACGAACCCCTGGTTTAGACTATTTTGAGACCTTCAGCCTAGTTGTCAAACCTTTCTCCATTACAATCATCTTTACTCTTACTGTTTTCAATGGATGGGATATCCAACAAGTTGATGTGAATAATGCCTTTCTCAATGGCATCTTGAGTGAAACAGTTTACATGAGTCAGCTTGCTAGTTTTGAGCATCCTCAATTTTCTTCTCATGTATGTAAACTTAATAAGGCCTTGTATGGTCTCAAACAAGCATCAAAAGCTTGGTTTGACAAACTCAAGCAAGCCTTACTGAATAAAGGATTTCAGAATTTAATTTCAGATTCTAGCCTCTTTATTCTTAAGGAAACAACTTAAGTTCTTTACATTCTCATCTATGTAAATGATATACTCATTACTGGATCAGACAATGCCTTTATTTTACAGCTTGTAGCATATCTAAACAATGAATTTTCTTTAAAAACACTTGGATCTGTTAGTTACTTTCTTAGTTTAAAAGCCACTAGAAATGCAGAAGGTATACACTTGAAACAGACTAAGTGTATTGGTGATTTGTTGACTAAAACTAAAATGCAAGATGCTCATGCTTGTCCAACTCCCATGGCCACTGGTACTAAACTTTTCTCCTCTAATAATTAGTTGTTTAAGGATCCTAGTCTATATTGGAATACCATTAGGGCTCTGCAATACTTGACTTTGACAAGACCAGATATAAGCTTCACAGTAAACAAGCTTAGTCAATTTCTTCAAGCTCTAACTGAGCTTCAATGGCAAGCTGCAAAAGGGTATTGCAGTTTATTAAAAAAAACTCAGTTCCATGGGTTACAATTCAAACCAGCAGCTGCCTTCTGTGTTGAATGCTATATTGATGCAGATTGGGGAAGCAAGCTTGATAATAGGAGGTCTACAAGTGGGTATTGTATTTACTTAGGACCCAACCTCATTCAATGGAGTTCTCGCAAGCAAAAATTTGTTGCTTTGTCTTCTACAGACGTTGAGTACAGAGCCCTTGCACAAACAACGACTAAATTAGCTTGGTTAGACAACTTTTTTTCTAAGTTAGGGATTACATTGACTCCCACTCATGTGATTTTGTGTGATAACCTTAGTACAGGAGCTTTGGCAGCTAACCTTGTATTTCATGTTAGAACCAAGCACATTGAAATAGACACGCATTACATGCGAGATTAGGTTCTAGCCAATAAAGTCATAGTGCAATATGTTCCATCAAAATTGCAAATTGTTGATGTCCTAACAAAGTCTATCAGTAGCTCAATTTCAAGAGTTGAAGCAAAAACTTAATCTTTTTGAAGTAAAGATTTCAGATGGCAAAATGTATCATCAGTTTTTGATATGAGAACTGAGATATGTAGATAAAGCTTGTTCAAATTTCTCATTTAAGGTATGTTCAAATTTGTAGTTTAAGTCAATTGTATTACTGAGAAAACCTGAACTGAACTATGTTGCTGAAGTTCTGCAAGTCTGCTCTTTTATAGCCAAAGTATATTTTAAAGTATGAATTTGTGTGTTGCATTTGTGAGAGAACTGCAATATGAATTTGTGGGCAACTATGAGAAGTTTTAGCCTGTAGTATAATTTGAATTACTGCAGTCTGGATTTGTGGGCAATTGTGAGAAGTTTCTGCCTGCAATCTAAATTTGTGTATTGAATTTGTGAGAGAATTTGTGGTGTTTTGAATTTATGTGCAATTGTTAGAAATTTTTGCTTGCATTCTGGATTTGTGTATTGAATTTATGAAAGCATTTGTGGTGTTAGTCTAAAGTTGTGTGTCATGACTGGGGTTATCCTCTATCTTACCACCTTCAGGCTCAAGGGTACTCAAGTTACTTGGCTAAGGTATAAGTCTAAGATTCAAGTCATGAAGGAGGCGTTCGCAAGGTGGAAAGACCATGAAGCGAAACAAGGCTGTGAGGGTCTAAAGGAGGCATGGCCAGAGAGACCCATAGTGGACAATACCTTGGACATGTCTGGTGCGTAGGGAAAGCCCTTAAGCCCAAAGATGGCAAGATAGAGGATAACCTGGTTGTGACATTGTGTGCTAAATTTGTGAAAGAATTTGTGGTGTTCTAAATTTGTGGGCAGTTGTAAAGAAATTTCTACCTGCAGTCTGAATTTTTGTGTTGAATTTGTGAGGGACTTTGTGGTGTGCAAACAAAAATCTGTCTACAAGTTGAATCTATGAAGAAGTTGACTTTTCTGTATGAAGTTTCAGAATGAAGTCTGAGTTGAATTTGTGTAGCTTAGTAGCTGAAGTTTGAATGAGTAAATGAAGTTGAAAACAAAAGAAAGTCTGAAGGAAGTCTAAGACTTAATGCAGCGAGATATGAAGTGAAGCACAACTGTAGTTTGCTACAGTTTGTTGGTTTAGGTTGTTTGAGTATACTGATTTTTTAATACCCCAATTGCATTTAAGGGGAAATGTTGGAATGTTGATAGAAGTAAGGTCAATTCCCTACTTGCATTTGAGGGGAAATGTTGACCAAAGTTGAAAGGTCAAAACTGTAAATCTTACCCTTCTCATGTAACAGTGCCGTTTTGTCTCTCTCTCATTTCATATAAAATTGAGCAAACTTCTTCTTGTACATTTGGTTATCAGTTAATCAAAATACTGAAATTTTTACTCAATTAGCTTTCTTCTTTTTCATTTCTCTTCGAATCTCACAAATCCCAAGTCCAACTAAGTAGAAGTTGTTCACTTTGCTTTTGGGCTTCACGCAAGTGTCATTCACCCAAATTATGTCTACTTAGTTATAGGGACCTAAGCCTTATAAATTGAATCCTAGGTTTGTCTACTAGGGGATATGGGATGTGGCCAACTCCCACCTTATGGACCTCACGTCCTTGTGAGGTCAATGCATCCGCTTCATTAGGTAATGAGCTCACTCTAACACCAATTGTAAAGTCATGGATCAAACCAAGTAGAAATTGTTTGTTGTGGGCCCAAGCATGCACAGGTTTTCTTTTGGGCTTTACGTAAGCGTCATTCACCCAAAATGTGTCTACTTAGTTATAGGGGCCCAAGCCTTATAAATTGAATCACGGGCTCATTTGCCAGGTGATGTGGGATGTGATACCATGACTCGCCCTAAATTGGCCACTTCAGACAAAATCCTAGCTTACCGCTACATCTATTCCAACACTTGCAGTTGCCCATCATTTTGTTGTGAAGGTTAGTTTAGTTGGAGTGGTATGGACTTTGACTTGAGTTATTTGTATTCTATTGTTTTGGATTAGGGTTTGATTAGGATTTTGGATCATGACATTTTTCACTTATTTTGATTTTGACTTATGTTGTTTATACTTATACTTATAGTAGTAGTTGATAACGTTTTTTATATCTTAAAGATTAATATCAAATTATTGTTGGTAATGTTCTTTATATCCTAATGATTGCTAGATCAATTTAGGCTTGGATTTTGGGAATTTTGAGAGGGAGAAGTCAGCTAGGGTTATTAGGCTTGAATTAATTTTTCAAATTAATTTCTTACTCTTCTATCTCAACCCTAAAACATAAGTGTGTTTATATATGCAACACTTATAACCCTATTCCAAGTTGGAATAAGGATAATACTATTCCTATGGAATTGAATTAAATTAGGTATTTTATTATTTTAATATTACCTATTAATAAAGAAATAGGTATAGGCAACAACCTCAAAATTAAATATACTTTTACATTTATTTAATTACACAACAAAATTATTAAAATACCTTTTTGATCAAAATGACCAAAATGCCCTTATCCATGAAAAATTCAAAAACCACTATCTTGACTTGGTTTGTTAAACCAATCAAAGTTATCATTACAAATTCCTAGAATTATGCTACAACACAATTCTAGAATCCTGACAACTCACTTCACAAACCACTAAATACTTACACTTGGTATTCAAGCCTCTTATGTGTGTGATACCATTTGCATCAGCCCAGCCACTGCCAAGAAATTGTCTGCTTTGGAAACACAATCCATCATGGTTTTGCATTCGGGATTTGAAACCCGAAACACATCTTGATAGCTTAGGAACTCACAAGCTATTTGATCAATCTTCTCTTAACATTCTCAAGCGATGTGGGATGTCACAATTCACCCCCTTTGGAAGTAGTGTCCCCACTTGCATCCTAGGCTACTTAAGACCATCCACACACTTCCCTTTATGCCGTACGCTAATACCATCTGTAACAGCTCAAGCCATTGCCAAGAGATTGTTTGCTTTGGACACATAGTCCATCACGGTTTTGCAGTTGGGCTTTGCAACCCAAAGCACATCTTGACAACTTAGGAGTTCACAGGCTATTAAACCAATCTTCTCTTAACATTCTCAAGCGATATGAGATGTCAATTGTTTAATTACATCTTGTGATTCTATTGCACATAAATGTTTTTTCTGTCCAACATAGTTTATACGTGCTATACATGGTTGTTCATCATGGTTTGTATTCTCAAATTGCATTAAATGAGACTTTAAGAAAAAAAATTCTTAAATTTGCCTATATTGTTAAAAAGTGACCATAAGTGATTAAAAAGGCTAATTCACTTGCCTCTCTTAGGCCATTTCAATCCTTCAATTTGTATCAAAGCAATTTTGCTCATTAAATTTGATTTAATCGTACCATGAACCTAGATGGACCAAGAACTAATGGTGATGGACATGCTCTCTCTGGGTTGAAATTCTTTGATGGCTCAAACTACCACTGTTGGAAGAGTCGCATGCCTATCTTCCTCCAAAGTGATCATGATCTTTGGGATGAAATGCTAGATGGACCCTTTGTGCCAATGAAACAAGTAGATAGCAAGAAAGTGCCAAAAACTAGAGAAGTGATGGACTACCTAGAGAAAATAAATATTGTTAAAATGCTAAGTATTAGGCAAAAGAAATGTTAGGAAAAGCTAAGCATAGTAGTTTGGGTTAAAGTGTAAAGAATAGAAGTTGGTTGGGTTTCATTGTAAAAACATCAATATGGTGTGCTTTTGTATTAGCTCAATACGATGGCTTTTTTATATCATCTTCCTGATATAAAAGCATATCCTTCTCTGTTCTTTGCAGAAAATAAAATTTCAGTAGGTTCAATTGTGTTTCTCAAATTCTTTAATTTTTGGTTAATTTTTTTTTCAAATCTGGTCAAGAATCTTTATAGTATCAGAGTTATAGCCAGACGTCCATGGCTAATTTGAGTTCTAGATCCTTGAATTCTAACTCCTAGATAGTGAACGAGCTGCCTAACAATGCAAATGTGTTGAGTTCAGTTGCTCATTCCTCTCTTCCAACTCTATCAATCAAGCTAGGAGAGAGAAACTACAGTCACTGGAGGTCTCAAGTATTCCCTACGTTAACCTCTTATGAACTTGACGGCTTCATCACAGGTGTGCATGTATGTCCTTCCATGTTTTTAACTGAACAAATTCAAGATTCTGAATGAATAATCAAGAAACCTAACCCTAAGTACTTTGATTGGAAAAAGACGAATCAATTTCTGGTTAGCTGGTTAAATTCTTCCATTTCCGAGTCTATGTTTAGACATGTTTCTAAGTGCACTAGTGCATATGAATTTTGGAATACTTTAGAGTTGCATTTTCAGTCTTTCTCAAAGGCGAGAACACTTCATTTGAGAAATCTATTGCAAAACACTAAGAAGGAGTCTATGGGTGTTAATGAGTATATTTTGAGAATGAAAGAGTTAGGGGATGAACTAGTGGCCAATGGAGTTCAAATTAGAGATGAGCAACTATTATTATACATTCTGGATGGCTTAGGTCCGAAGTTTGATGCCATGGAAGCTAATTTGGTGGCTAATAGTAGCACTGCCACTCTCTAAGAAGCATAGATACTACTCTATAAACATGAGATGAGAATTGAGAAGCAGAATAGTGCATTGTCAAATTTTCATGGGATGTCATCTACACTACTAGCTACAAAACAAGTTTCAAATGACGTTGTAGGTGTGTCACAGTTCCAAATCCCTACTGCACCATAATTCCAAAATACCGGGTCTGGAGGAATTGCATCTCAAAGTCTTGGTTCTCCTTCTATTATTCAACCAGCTACATGGTAGAATCCTAACCCTCACCTGTGTTTTCACAAGGGGTGTTGAATTATCAATATCATGGAGGCTATCCTCAACAACCCCCTAATGTAGCCATGTATTCTGCCACCTTTCCTCACCCTGTTCCTACTCAGTATTTTGCTCCTAGTGTTGTTCAGTTTAACAATCTGTCAAGTATGTGGGAAGAATGGTCACTCAGCCTTATAATGCTATTTTTGATTATGTGTATCAGGGGTTTATAAACATAAATCATAGTAACTACAATCCTTCTCCAGCTCAGATAACTGCTCTCCCACCTCCAGTTAGTAATAATCAACCATATTCAGGAAGTTCACATGACTCTAATGCTCAAGCTCAAGCTCAAGCTCAAGCTCTCTTTGTAGCAAATACTCTACCACCCAAGCACTCTTCAAACTCTTATGAAGGGTTTCATGATCTCTCTACTGTTGGAATGTCTATAAGTCCTCAACCAAGTTACAACACTCCACAATTTCAACCATATCCATCTTATAACTACTCACCAGGCCATAATGCAAACATCCCTTCAAACAATACTTCCTCTACACCTGTGTTCACTAATGCCACTGCTCCAGCTACTGCTACACCACAAACACTCACAGATCAGTCCTGGTACATGGACTTTGGAGCCTCAAACCATATGACTGCCAATGCAAATAGCATGCTGATGAAGTCTGGTTATTAGGGAGAGTCCCAAGTACAAGTTAGTAATGGTCAGTCCATTCCTATTACCCATACAGGTACATTACTGTTACCTTCTGCTGATTCTAATAGAATTTTGCAACTCCACAACATTTTGTGTGTTCCAAGTATTGCTAAGATCTACTGTGCATATCTCAAATCACTAAAGATAACCATGTGATAGTTAAGTTTCATGCTGATCACTGTTTGATAAAGGATAAACAAAGCAAGGCTATTCTTCTTCAAGGGACAGTAAAAGATGGCCTCTATCAACTTACCTTGCTAACCATTGCTGCTCTTTCTATTGATTCTCAACTAAGGTCTACACTCTGTGATTCTAGCTCTGTTTCAACCTTCAATACTCATGTAGTTAGTGCATTCAAACCCAATAAAGAGTATTTTTTGGGTATTGATTTAGATCCTGATCTTACTTGTAATTCAGCTAATAAGGTCTTACTTAATGAGCCATCTAGTAGTGTTTTACTATGGAATGCTAGATTAGGCCACCCTAGTAGCAAGATTCTAAATAATGTACTTGCAAAGTTGAATGTAAGGAAATCAAGTACTGAAAATAAAGATTTCTTTTGTAAGGCATGTCAGTTTGGAAAACTACAGCAGTGCACATTTCCTAATTCTGCTTCCAAGGCTAAAAAAACCTTTAGAGATAGTTTACTCTGCCTTGTGGGGTCCTGCCCTTGTTTTGTCTACTGAAGGGTATATATATTATGCTATATTTGTGGATGATTTTAGTAGATACACATGGATCTATCCACTAAAACTAAAGTCTAAAGTCTTTAATGTTTTTACTCAATTCCATTGTTTTGTGGAGAAACAATTAGATGCAAAACTGAAATGCTTACAAACAGATTGGGGAGGGGAATTTCGACCGTTTACTAGTTATTTGGAGAAACATGGCATCTTGTTTAGGCACCCTTGTCCATATCTTCACCAGGAAAATGGTAGAGTAGAAGCAAACATAAGACTATTTCTGAGTTTGGGTTATCCCTTCTAGCTCATGCAACTATGCCCCTGAAATTCTGGTGGTCAGCCTTTAGTACAGCTGTGTATCTACTCAACAGACTTTCCTCAACAGCTATTGACTTTGTATCCCCTGTTGAAACCTTATTCCAACAAGCACCAGATTATATTGACCTGAAAGTGTTTGGTTGTTGCTGTTATCCATTTCTCAGACCTTATCAAAGGCACAAATTGTCTTTTCACACCGAAAAATGTGTGTTCTTGGGTTATAGTCTTGTTCATAAAGGCTATAGATGCATGAACTCTAATAGCAGATGTTATGTGGTTAAACAAGTTCGTTTTAATGAGACTGATTTTCCATTCAAGTTTGGCTTTCAACCTGACCTGTCTTTATCATTTTCACCCGAATTTTGTGAGGTTACTCAGTCTTAGGTCTTGCCATCACTCTCATCATCATCCAAACCTTCAGACTTGGCTTCTAAACCTACTACTCCTACAACGATTAGTCAAGAGAGTGCTTCTGAAAAATCCATTCAAAACTATAGAGTGTTTTCACCACAAGCTGATACCTCTAATACTACTTCGGGCAGTCATAGTTTTCTCTTATCCTCTCCTGAAAATATGTTTGTAGTGTCCACTTCAACACAAACAAATCCTGGAATTTAGCTTGAGGTTGTTCTTCCCATCCCAGCTAATAGCAAAACTGCAAATGTTTATTCGATGGTTACTTGATCCAAGGGTTGTGTTTCAACTAATATACCTTAGGCTCTTCTATCTACACATACAATACTACCTGAACCATCCTCAGTTACTGAAGCTTTACAAACTCTAGAATGGAAAACAGCCATGGAGCTGAATATCAAGTCCTGTTGAACAATCAAACCTGGAAATTAGTTCCCTATGTAGATGGCATGAATATAGTAGGCTGCAAGTGGGTGTTTAGAACCAATTTAAACTCAAATGGCTCTCTTTCTAAGTATAAAGCTCGATTAGTAGCCAATGGGTTTCAACAAACCCTTGGTCTTGACTACTTTGAGACCTTTTCTCCAGTAGTTAAGGTAGCAACTATCAGAATTAACTTGTCCTTAGCTGTGTATAATCAGTGGGAAATGCAACAACTAGATGTGAATAATGCACTTCTCAATGGAGAATTGATTAAACAGGTATTTATGATGCAACCAGAAGGTTTCTCTGATTTTTCTCAAACAAGGCAGGTTTGTCAGTTGCACAAAGCCCTATATGGGCTCAAACAAGCTCCAAGAGCTTGGTTTGAAAAGCGGAAACATGCTCTATTAAGTTGGGGATTCTAGAATTCAATATCTGATGTCAGTCTGTTCTTCTATAAAAAAGAGTCTGTTGTAGTCTATCTACTAGTGTATATAGATGACATTTTAGTTATAGGAAATAACTTTCAATTGGTTGATCAGATAGTGGCAGATTTGAATACCGAATTTGCTTTAAAAATCCTAGGTCCTGTAAGTTACTTTCTTGGATTTGAAGTTAAGAGAAATGTCAAAGAGTTATTGCTCACACAAAGTAAGTATGGTCAAGATCTGCTGTTAAGAGCTGGTATGAATGAATCTAAACCTTGTGTTACCCCTATGGCTACTGGCACTAGGTTGGGGAAAGAAGACAGTGATCAGTTTGATCAACCTTCACTGTATAGAAGCATTGTTGGAGGGTTGCAGTACCTGACATTGTACAAACCTGATCTTGCGTTTGCTGTGAACAAATTAAGCCAATTTCTTCAACAACCCACTGTCAATCATTGGACAGCATGCAAAAGGGTTCTTAGATATGTAAAGGGAACACTGAATCATGGGCTATTATTTACTAAAAATGAGCATTTTCTGCTAGAAGCTTATGCATATGTAGATTGGGCTAGTGATGTTAATGATAGGAGATCTACAAGTGGTTATGCTGTGTTTATTGGAGGAAATTTAGTTCAGTGGAGTTCAAAGAAACAAAAGGTAGTTTCTCTGTCATCTACTGAGGCAGAATACAGATCTTTAAGCCAAGCTTCTATAGAACTTGTATGGATCAGGAATCTATTTGAAGAAATTGGTCTTAGTTTGAATAGCTGCCCTGTACTATGGTGTGACAACATGAGTGCTAGAGCACTATCTTCAAACCCTGTGTTTCATGCTCGAACAAAGCACATCAAAATTGATGTGCATTATGTGAGAGACTTAGTTGCAAATAAAAGCTTAAGTGTGCAATATGTAGCTTCTGAGTACCAAGTGGTAGATATTCTAACCAAAGCTTTACCTGGAAATCAGTTTAATTACTTGAAAGACAAACTCACTGTTACAGATTCTTTATCTGATTAGATTGTCTTTTGTTCTCTTAAAGCAGTTAATTGAGAATGCAGGTGATGTGTTAATGCTTGGAGTCATGAGGATGAGTTGCTGGATTATTTGTTATTGATGTTTGTAAAATGAAACTACTGTGGAATGCTATGATATGTTTCTTTGAAATTGTGTGAGTTTGAGCTGTTGAAAGTATGTGTTGTCGATACCTGTAAAATGAAGTTGTTATGGAATGCTATTATATGCTTCTTTGCAATTGTGTGAGTTTGAGCTGTTGAAAGTATGTGTTACTGATACCTGTAAAATGAAGTTGTTATGGAATGCTATGATATGTTTCTCTGCAGTTGTGTGAGTTTGAGCTGTTGAAAGTATGTGTTGCTGATGCCTGCAGTTGTGCAAGTTTGAGCTGTTGAAAGTATGTGTTGTTGATGCCTATAGTTGTGTGAGTTTGAGCTACTGAAAGTATGTGTTGCTAATACCTGTAAAATGAAGTTGTTGTGGAATGATATGGTATGTTTCTCTGTTGTTGTGTGAGTGTGATCTGTTGAAGCTGCTATGGAATGTTATGTCTATAGCAAATGTAGTTGTGTGAGTATGATCTGTTGAGGATGCTATGGAACGTTATGTCTGTAGCAAAATGCAATGTTGTGCGTTACTATGGAAAGGATTACAATGGTGCTTATTTTTGGTGAAAGCCTACAAGAATGGCATTACTGTGTGTTAGTTATTGTATGTGAAGAAATTGTAGGGATGTTTTGTTTAAGGGGAAATATTAGGCAAAAGAAA